ACATATACTGTATTGCTAGTTCCAGTGATTCATCAGTTGCGCGTTAGCGCCCCGTGCTCAGTACATCATGTGCCTTCATTAATGCCCACAGCACAGTTACCCCCTCCCTCTTCCAAGGGCCACCCTCTTTTAAATAAAACTTTTTTATTTTGAAGTAACTGTAGCTTCACATGCAGATGTAAGAAATAACAGAGATCAAGTGTCCTCTGCAACCACCCCCCCCACCCTCGCCTCCTGCAATGGTAACATCTTGCAAACTACATAGTATAGTATAGTATCACAACCACAACAGACATGGATACAGTCAGACACAGGCCACTGCCAGCCCCACAAGGATCCCTCCTGTTGCAAGTGACTGGCCACACTCCCCTTCCACACACCCCATATGCCTAACCCTAAAAACCACTAATCCATTCACCATTCCTATAATTTTGGCACTGCAAGACTGTTATGTATGTGGAATTGCAGAGCCTGCAACCTTTCAGCGCTGGCTTGTTTCATGCAACATAACCGCCTCAAGACTCATCCAAGTTTTGTTATCAACAGCTTGCTGCTTTTGGTTGGTGAGTAGCATTCCAGAGTATGGAAGCACCACTGTTTAACCATTTACCCACTGAAGGGCATGGCTTCCCGCTTCTGGCTATCAAGAATAAAAGTTACTATGAACATTTGTGTATACATTTTTATGTGAACATAAACATTCATTTCTTTGGGATAAATGCCCAAGAGTGAACTTGCTGGGTCACGTGGTAGTTGCCTATATGGTTTTCCAAGAAACCGCCAAGTGTTTCTCCAGAGCCGAGATTTTAAAACGAATTCAAACTAACCTCATCAAAATCAACTCGGTTCACCTTCTCCCCACTCCTGTCAGCTCACGCACCTGGTCTGGTCACTGGTGAGCCCTCACCCGGCAGCCTTTATTCCTTCCTGCAGACATTCTGCACAGGTCACCCACAGGACAAATGCTTATAAAGGGCCGCTACGAGCCATGGGGCTGGGCTGGTTATTTCCACATTGTTAACATTTGGACTGCTTTTCTGAATTATGAGTACATACCAAGAATTATTAACTAGCAAAAAATCTAAATGTACCAAGAAAAAGCCAACCTAACTTGCAACATTTTATTCTTTAAACACACACAGACTTAGTCAAGTAAGAAAAGAAGTCCAAAGGAAGCAACGGAGAACCAAGTGGCCTGGATGATTATCCCTATAAGACTGAGCTTGAACCACAGTCCTGATGAAAACAGTAAGAAGAATGGCTGTTTGGGACGTTCAAGGAAAATTACAATAGATCTCAAATTGCAAACAGCATCACTCCTCACTAATCACCTAAGATTATAAAAATAATTTGGGGGGTGCCTGGAGAGCTCAGTGGGTTAAAGCCTTTGCCTTCAGCTCAGGTCATGATCCCAGGGTCCTGGGATCGAGCCCCACATCGGGCTCTCTGCTTAGCCGGGAGCCTGCTTCTCCCTCTCTCTGCCTACTTGTGATCTCTGTCTGTCAAATAAATAAATAAAATCTTAAATAATAATAATAATAATTTGGGACAAATTTACATACTCTCATAAAAGGATGCATGCTCCGTTTTGTGACTAAATGATCCTCAATGATCCCATATGGCACACAAGAAAATGGCCTGTGGACAACAAACTCATTTTCTTGTTAAAACTAGCAGCTACATTTTCAATTTCTTCATTCCATGAACACTTAATAAGCAAAAAACTTAAATTTCAACTGGACATTGCTTTCTCAAGATATGTGAAAATACGTGACGTTAAAAGTCACTTCTAAATTTCCAATCACAATTTATAATGGGATCGCCTATAAAGTGCAACCTTGGGGAAATATCACAGGCATTTAATAGAGCATAAAATGGCAAGAAACAATTTTTACAAGTCGGTATACTGAAAAGGCTCCCTAACAAACACCTGTCCACCCCGCTTTCAATATTGTTTCTGTAACGCTACTAGCGCCACAAGAAGTCAGCACCCCCTTACCCTAAATAACAGAGCAGAGAGGGAAGCTGGTCACTTCAGATGGAACTGTCAAGCGCTGCAGCAGGAATCTGAAGGAATTTCATCCCTTCAGGGCCCCTAACCTGCTTCACTGTTCGTAGACTCCTGTCAAACCACTATCTGCCTTTAGTTTCAAATCCCTTCGCTGGAAACTGAAATCAAATTTTTTTCTCCCAGGACTTGGCTAAGATAAAAAGCACCCAATACGCATTGCCTGGAAAATCCTAACTCCCGGAGCTCCTGGGTGGCTCATGGGTTAGAGCCTCTGCCTTCAGCTCAGGTCATGATCCCAGGTGGGATCGAGCCCGGCTGAGCAGGGAGCCTGCTCCCCCCCACCCCCGCCTGTCTCTCTGCCTACTTGTGATCTCTGTCAAATAAGTAAATAAAATCTTAAAAAAAAAAAAAAAATCCTAACTCCCATGAAGGTTCAATCAAAGCAATATTCAGATAAAATGTCATCCCTCTGGGAGACACACATGCATTTAATACCAGATAGTGACATTTACAGTTCGAAACTGCACAAGGTTCATCAACTTACTGACAAAATGTAAAAGGAGGGCAAATCCAAGGAGGTATAAACCCAAGTTCCTTGGGTAAGGGAATTATTCCTCTGAGTCATAAAAGGTGAAATCAGGAGGAACTGGGGAGAAGAATGAGAGAGGTAAATAAGAGGGAGTTGATCCAGCCCAAAGAAAACTTTTTTTCCTTTTTTAAAGATTTATTTATTTATTTATTTATTTGAGAGAGAGAGAAAACACAAGCAAGAGAGCACAAGCAGGGGCAGTGGAGGAGGGAGAGGGAGAACCAGGCTCCCCACCCAGCAGAGACCCAGAATCACAACCTGAGCCGAAGGCAGACACCCAACCAAGCCCCCACAGAAAACTTATAAAGAAAGCCTTTTTCAGAAAGTCATTTCCAAGCCCCACATCTTGCTACGGACAAGCCTACTGCTTACTCAAACAAAAGAGGCTTAAAGACTCACAGAAAGCTCTTTCCTCATCACTGACTCCACCTGTACCTACCTGGAGACCTTAAGCAGGGGAGCATGAAAATGAGCGCCAATGACATCCAAATATTAGCACCCGCTCTTGACAATGTAGGTTTTTGACAGGAAGAATTTAAGAAAAGGAAGAAACAGCCTTAGATTCCTCACTCTCTGTAATATGGACCTCAAAAAACAAAAACAGAAACAAAAAGCCTCTAAAATATACTAAAAGAAGTTAAAGAAAGGAATTTTTGCCTAAAGGCACAAGTTCAATCAGGAAAAAATAAAAAGTGCAAGCGATTAGGTACCACTCCGCTCCAGAAAGAGTGTGATTCCCAGGCTTGCCCGAGTTCTAGGAGAGTAGGGAAACTCTGATACACCCGCACTCGGGCTGGCAAGGCCAAGCCTGGAGGTAACTGCCAGCCTCCAATCAACTCCAAACACTAGGGCCTGCAGAGATTCCATTCACAAATCCCAGGGTTCAGGATCTGCTCACATGGCCAACAGACAGCTCAGGGGGAAAGACCCCAGGACTAGGGACAGTAGCACCTGCCAGTACCCCGGGGCCTGTTTTTCTCTTTTCCAGCTGTTATTGAGTTTCTGGTTCCCACACTTCATTCACAGCCTCACTGGCTGCTGTTACCTACATCCCACAAGACCACACACAAAGCATAGTGGCAGCAATGTGAGCAATCCGCAGAGATTCCCAACCACGACTCTCTGAGGAAAAAAAAAAAAAAAAGTCTGCAGCCCTAAATTTGAGTCCCAACTCTGGGTGCACCTTAGGTTTTCCTGTGGAACCCAAATCTGCCACCAGGCCACTCACTTTAAAGAGGAGAGAATCCTAAGCAATCGGGGAAAAGATTCAGACCACTGAAACACCTAAGTCCTGAAAAGGAAGGCTTCTCAGGGAAATGGGCACTCCCTTACTCACCCTTCATGTCCCCTGAGCAGAATCCCAAGCAACGGGTCAATTTTGTAAATACTGAGAAGAGATGGCTTATCTCCCCGCAAGTTCTGAACTGGGGGAGAGCATGCTGATCACTGTACATCCCAGATAACTCATCCAGGCGCAGTATTAACTGGGGCAGAACTTTAATTCAGTCCCTCAACTACGTGAGAAAATAATGTAGAAAATCGTTTTAAGCTCTCATGTTTGGGTCACAATCTTGCAAGTTTCAGCATACCCAAATATCGCACCAGATCACCATTTTGAGGGAGGATGCAAATCCTAAGCAATCTGGAGAAAATTCATCATCAGTGAAACACCTGAACTAAAGAAAGGGAAAGCTTAAACCCTCCGCCAAGAATGGGTCCTGATCTGGGGAGGCCTGGCTGACTACAGATTTGGGAACCCCATGCACCGACAAAGGCCTCCTAGGCAATCAGCGTGGGAACGGAGTTTCTGGGAGGAGGTCCGCGTCTCCACGCCATGTAAGGACAAAGGCGGCGACATTTCCCGCCTCGGGAACCTGGGACTCTCCTGGAACCCGGGAAGGGACTGGGACAAAGACTAAAAAGGAACGAGGAGTGGGGTCGCCCCTGCCGCGCCAGCCAGGATGCTACCGGCCAAGGGGGGTGTGTGCTCCCGGCACGTGCGCGCGTGCGCGCGGGGCGCCGCAACAGACAAAGCCGGGCCCGGGGGACTCGGCGGCGGGGGGCCCGGTGCGCGCGCACCCCCCGCGCGAGGCGCCGCCGCCGGCCGAGGGGCCGCGAGGGGGGGCGGATGCGCGCGCACCGGGCCCTCGCCGCCGCCGCCGCCGCCATTTTGTTTCCTCGGCACAATGGGGGAGAGTAACGGCCGAGCGCGGGAGCGAGACTGGCGAGGGAGGAATGAGACAAGCGCTGGGGCGAGGGAACCGGGCGTAGGCGGGGAGCGCGGGGCGCCTGAGGCCCTGTCACCGCGACCCCTCAGCCCGGCCCGCGCTGAGTGGGAGGACTGGCGGGGGGAGGGGCAGAGGCGGGAATGGGCCCCGCCGCCGCCACATTGACGCTTACCTTGTCGGCGTTCCCTTCCCCGACCGCAACCGCCGCCACCGCCCTCCTGCCACAGCCCGCCGGGGTCTCCCCCCAAAAGCCACGCGGTGCGCACCGGGCTGCTGAGTCCAACTGCAATGGCGAGAAGAGGAGGAGGAGGAGCCGGGGCCGGGGGCGAGCGGGCGGGCGGGCGCGCGCCGGGGAGGTGCGGGCCACGTGATCGGCTGGAGCCCCGCCCCCTGCCGCCGCGTTGCCGCTCGACGCAGGCCGAGCCGGGGAGGGAGGGAGCGACGAAAAGAGATAAGGCGGGCTTCAGTCACGTGGCAGGAGCGCAGCCGTTGCGTTTTTGGTCACGTGGCATAGAAACATCACCTCTTTTCGAGGTCTTGATCATGTGATAGTGGCTTACGCCGAGGGTTCCTTAGCCACGTGACAAGGACTTCGGCCCGTCCCTTTGCTGTATTGGTAGGTCTGCGTCATGTGATGTGTTCGCCGCTCTTTTTTTAATGGCGATTTTAAGCGGCATTACCACGTGACGGAGGTCGAGGGGCGGAGTCGCCCCTGCTGCGAGTTAATGCGCCTGCGCGGCTGCCATCTTACGCCAGTCGCTCAGTGTACGTTGGCGGAAACTGCTGGTAGAGCCCGGCACGTGAGTATCCTCAAAGTGGCCGGATTTCGGTCGCGGAGGTTCGGCATCTATCCGAGGTTACCTGGCGCGGCTTCTTACCCTCTCCCTGCGTCTCTCGCTAGAGGCGGAGAAGACCTGAGATGCGGGTGTCAGCAACAGCCGGACAGATCTTGTTGCTGCCCCGGGACCGGCGCCGGTGAGCGCTACAGTTTCTTGGTCCTGCAAACCCCGCAGTGTAGCGTCTGGCCGCCCTGCCGGACCCGGCGTCCAAAGGGCAGAACCGAGCTGCTAGGGATCTTCTAGTCCTTTCACAGGTAGGGTAATTGAGGCCCCGCTGGAGGATTCACATCCCGCTCGTGGGAGAACGGGGTCTGCGGTCACACGCTCGGCCAACCACAGCTCAGGGTTGTTAAGGCACCGGGGACCGAGCTCCTTCTCTTTTCAAGCCCGTTGTTGTTGCATCCTCCCGGCGTTTCGTGAGATTGCCGATGTGCATACAATCTGCCTAAAGTCAGCCCCGCTCCCCTCCGGTGTCAGAATCAAGCTGGCGCTTGACAGGCGTCGTTACTAGGCACGTTGTCATGTTCGAGGCTGTTCAGAAACTGCCGGGACTTGGAACAAGGACTTACTGAAAAGGTTTCTTTCTTGAAAGTGAGAAGCCATTCAAGAGTTATCGGCATAGTAATGGATTTTCCTAGCAAAAATGTAGGATGTAAGCGCCTTTGTTAAGAATGCAAACCCACTGTCTGCTCTGGGTTTGAGTCCCTCGGTGTCACCAAAAACAGCCCACTTCTCTTGACCCTGCGTTTCCTTATCTACGAAATGGTAACGATTTTTCTTTAAAGCACTTGGCACAATTCTGTGTGCAGAATAAATGCGTCAAAATGATAACTATTATTAAAAAGGTAAAATGTAAAAATGTTACAGAAATGGGTGCATACTGTATCTACTGCTTTGCTTTTCTATTTACATTTTATTTAGGGTTTTGAGCAGATAATCCGTTCACCTGATACAAAGTGTCAAATGTTCAAGAGTGTGAGGGGACTATATCTGCCTCCTCTTCTTAGCAGCCAGTGTTCAGCTTTGCGTGTATCTCTACAGCTGTGTTCTATTCACGGAGAGGCTTAGATACTTATTTTTGATGTTTTTCACACAAGTGGTAGACATTTTGCATCTTGCTTTTTTCCCCCCGTGTTTGGAGATCTTTCCTAAATAGAGCTTGAGACTGAAGAAAGTTCTGGTAAGATTAAGGGGCAATGCATTCAGTAGAATTGGTTAAAGTAAATTCAGATTGTTTACGGTCCTCCTGATGAGTAAGGTGTTAACTGGCTTTAACCTGTTAAGAGACCAGCCGTTCCCCATACTTCAAGGCACGGCTGGGCTGGGTGTAACTTGACTAAGCTAACAGCGCTACCAAGTGGCAGAACAGGGAAGGTCTTCTAGTTTTCTGACTTCCCAAGTCCATAGATGGTTCTTGGGAGGGGCCAGAGATTAGATTTCTCAAGAACTTGCTTTTGAGGCTCTCAAGGCAGGCCCTGTCAGGACGGCCCCAAACTCAGCAAGGGGTAGATAGGATCATGGTTATAACCAAAGGCTTTAGATCAACCTGCAGTCTTCACAGAGGGCCGAGGACAGCTTTGATTCAGTCTTAAGGCTTTGTTTGCTAAGGATGCACGAAATGAGTGCCGGGGAAGCTGGTGTGGTTCTCATTGTTAACCTGTAGGACTGGTGGCTTGTCCAACCTCGATTTTGTAGTAAGAGCTGCTGCACAGCAGTTGAAGTGTCAAGGAAACCAGACTCCCTTAGATAGTGTGTTCTGGGGGCGCCTGGGTGGTGCCATCGGGTTTCTGACTCTTGGTTTCCACTCAGGCCATGACCTCATGGGTTTTGAGATCAGGCCTGGAGTCAGGCTCCACACTTCATGGGGAGTCTGCTTGAAAATTCCCTCCCTCTGTGCCTCTCCCAACTCTCACATGCATGTGCATGCTCGTGCTCGCTTGCTCGCCTGCTTTCTCTCTCAGATAAGTAAAGTTAAAAAAAAAAAAAAAAGTATGTTCTGCTGGAGCCACCCCAACCCCATCCACCAGGAGTGGCAGGATAAGTTTTCTGCCCCATCTTCTGACAAGCCACATCCATCGTGCTCCTTGTCTGTATTCTCTCCGTGGTCACCATGCAAGATTGAAGTTCCAAGGTGCCACCTGTCCCCTCTTATTCCTTCATCTCCATCCTGACCCAGTCTTCCACTACTGACTGCCCTTGAGCCTTTCTACCACTACATATTAACAACCCCTGTATGCACAACCATTCTCTGACTTCCCTGCCATGCCCTGTCATCTAGCTGTGTACCCCCTGTCCCTGCTACAGCCTCTCCATTCAACAGCTGGAGAGTAAGGTCTGTCCCCTCCTCTTGCAGTCCCTCTGCCTAGCCAGGTTCTGTCTTTATCAGGGACTTTTGTTCTCGTGAACATGCTGTCCATTGCTTGCCTTCCTCCTCTTTCTTGCATTTCAGCACCCCCACTCCCAGTCACACTGAGGAACTTTTCTCTCTGAATCCTTTTTGACCCATGCCTGTTGCCTTCTTCCCTTTTCAGTGAAGTGGACATGGATGGATCATAGGGCTTTGGGGATCTTCCCTTCTTCCTTGCTCAATCTGGAGTTCAATTGATGAGTCCCTGATATCATACTCTGAAACTAGACCCATGGCTTGGCCACAGTGATTGGCTTAGGGGTGAGGGACCCAAATCAGTCAGAGCCACTGAGCCCTGGGCAAGGAACTCGGGCAAGAGAAGCTCTTGTTCTAATCTTGAAGCCAGGGAAATACCAGGGGAGGGAAAGGGAGGGGAGGCAGGGAGTAGACCTTGATGAAAGAACTTGACAGAATGAAACCAACCAGGAAGAAGGCTCTGCTAAAGGTTGGAGCAAGAAGACAACTTGGCGGGGCGCCTGGGTGGCTGGCTCAGCGGGTTAAGCCTCTGCCTTCAGCTCAGGTCATGATCTCGGTCCTGGGATTGAGCCCTGCATCGGGCTCTCTGCTGGGCGGGGAGCCTGCTTCCCCTCTCTGTCTGCCTACTTGTGATATCTCTCTCTCTCTCTCTGTCAAATAAATAAATAAAATCTTAAAAAAAAAAAAAAACCCAAAGGGGCACCTGGGTGGCTCAGTGGGTTAAATTTCAGCTCAGGTCGTGATCCCAGGGTCCTGGGATCGAGCCCCTCATTGGGCTCTCTGCTCAGCCGGAGGCCCGCTTCCCTTCCTCCCTCTCTGCCTACTTGTGATCTGTGTCTGTCAAATAAATAAATATTTTAAAAAGAAAAACAACATGGTGTTTTCTCCCAAAATTAAACAACATATCCAGCAATTCCACTTCTGAGACTATGCCCACCAGAAATGAAAGCAGGGACTCGCGATGCTTACACACCCCTGCTCATAGCAGCATGACTCACAGTAACCAAAAGGTGGAAACAGAACCCAAGCATCTGTCAATGGAGGAACACACAAACAAGTTGCGATGTATGCAGACCATGGGATGTTAAATATTCAGCCCTAAAAGAGAAGGAAATTCTCACCTATGCTATGATGCGGATGAACCTAGAGGATGTCACGTTAAATGAAATTAGCCAGACACAAAAGGCTCAATACCATATGATTCCACTCCCGCAAGGTCTCTGGAAGAGTTAGAGTCACAGAGGCAGGAAGTAGAAGGGGGGTGCTTGCGGGTAGGGGAGTTTGTGGTTAATGGGAACGGTTTTCGTTTGGGAAGAAGAAAATTCCTGGATGTGGAGGGTGGTGATGCTTGTACAAGGGTGAAGGTAAATGTCACTGAGCTGCACACTTAACAATGGTTGGGGTGGTAATTTTTATGTGTATTTTACAGCAGTATATATATTTTTAAAATATTTTATTTGTGGGGCGCCAGGGTGGCTCAGTCAGATAAGTGTCTGCCTTCGGCTCAGGTCTTGATCTCAGGGTCCTGGGATTCCCTGCTCAGCAGGGCGTCTGCTTCTCTCCCTTTTCCTCTGCACCCCCTCCCTGTTCATGCTAGCATGCTCATTCACTCTCTCTTTGTTTCTGTCAAAATATTATTTTATTTTATTTATTTGACACAGAGAGATCACAAGTATGCAGAGAGACAGGGAGAGAGAGAGGAGGAAGCAGGCCCCTGCTGAGCAGAGCGCCTGATGCGGGGCTTGATCCCAGGACCCTGAGATCATGACCCGAGCCAAAGGCAGAGGCTTTAACCCACTGAGCCACCCAGGCACCCCAAAATAAATATAATTTTATAAGTAAATGTACTGGGGTGCCTGAGTGGCTCAGTCGTTAAGTGTCTGCCTTCACCTTAGGTCATAATCCCAAGTCCTAGGATCAAGCCCCACATTGGGCTCCCTGCTCAGCAGGAAGCCTGCTTCTCCCTCTCCCTCTCCCACTCCCTCTGTTTGTGTTGTGTCTCTCTCTGTCAAATAAATAAAATCTTTTTTTAAAAAAAGTAGATATTTATTTTGAGAAAGCGCACATGCTTGTGCACTTGTGAGCACAAGGGGG